TAATTTAATTTTATAATATTGTTTGTTTATTTAATTTTTAGTTTAGTAAATTTAGTTTCATTTTATTTTAGTATACATTGTATTTTAGTTTGTTTAATTTTGACATAATTTAAATTCCATTTTTAATTTTGTTTTATTGTATTTAAATTTTTTATTTTATTTATTTTTAATTTTTTTACAATTTAATTTAATTTAACATAAATTAAATTAAATTTAATTTAATTTTATTGTATATTATTTTTATTTATTTTCGTTTTATTTAAATAAATTTAACATTATTTTTATTCTATTCCGTTTAATTAAATTTTTTCTTGTTATATTCTGCTTCATTTGATTGTATATTTTTATTTTATTTTGTTCGAATTTCTTTATTTTACTAAACGAAATTTAACTTAATTTAATTTAATTATATTATATTACGATATATTGTATTTTATTTTAATTTTATTACTTTACTTTACTTTATAGTTATCTTATTTTGTTTTTGTTTTGATTTTTATTCTGTTTTATTTCAGTTTATTTTATTATATTTAATTTAATCTTGATGTAATTGAACGAACTCACGCCCAAAAGCCAGACCTATATCACACAAACGGTGGACACGAATGATATTCACCGAGAATCAGTCATAACTTTCACCTACCTACGATCCCCTGAATGTCATTATCGGAAATACCACCCCTTGCAGACGAAGAGCTTCAGCAGCGTCGAGCGACCTGCGTCACTCTGGCGCAACTAAGGTCTGGATACTGTAGCAGGCTAATCTTTCAACTATTTACACTCAAACCCGACTACTTTTCCTTAAGTCTGACACCGGCGAAAGACAAGAGTCAACCTGAGTTACCGCAGGTAGTTCACAGTAAGTAAGTAAGTAAGTAAGGTGTAAGTAAGGCTACACACTGCAATGATATCAGAGTCCCGGACGCCTATTCACCACTCATGGAGTATTAAGACCACTAGCTATCTGCTTACACTTCCAAGGGCGGTATGTTTTATTGTTTGGAATTTATTAGTGAGATGGTCATATCCGCAATAACGACTTTAAAAAAGTTAAAACAAAGCGTGGAAGTCCTTTTATTTCACGTGTGGATTGCCGCAAGCAGCAGTAAAATCCTGTCTCGCTCTTATCACTAACGTAGAGCCGGCCTTTGTTTTCTTCTACTTCGAGTACTTTCAGGGCTCGTACGACATGGTCTAGCAAGCGAAGCCGCTGTTTCTTTATTCGGCAGACTAAACCAATGTCTGTTTCCCTAATATTTAGGAGTGCAATGCGACTGGCTATTCGTATAAATGTATACTCTACCAAAATTGCGTCACGTATGACCAAAGAGCCTCGAATGAGACCCTCTTAATTTGATGTCGACCACGGTATATGCCTAAAGGACTATGATTTGAGGAACCCTGATGGCGAAGACATCACCGCCATCCAAGTAATGCGCAATGGATGTGGTCGGGAGATAGTTTAAGTACGAATGTCTACTTTAGTTGCAATCCTGATGAAGTTTGTTAGAAGTTGCATCAAATTGGAGCAGTCCATTGTTGTCGGAAAAACACACCACCTTCTTTTCGGACCCCTTCGTCTCCACACGCTATGTGTACTTCCTTCTTGCACTGCTTCTTGCACTGCTTCTTCGTACATATTATTCTTGCCTCAGCTGCTAGTAACCCAACGAATATTGTGCCTCTTGGTGATCGATCTTTTAACTGGTCGTCGATTTCGGCGCTACGGTTCTCTTCTCAGTTGGGTCAAAATGAACGTCACTGCATTGTTCACTGCTTTGCCTTTTCCAGTGGAATCCATCAAGTGGCCTCCTATATTTTCTGGTGTTTTATTCTTCCCCAAACACGAAGCGAATGTAATTTTTATCCAGATCGAATTGTGGGAAATGGAATAAAATATATTCGAAGTCTTCAAAAGTGCTATCTCCACCCGTTTGGCAGTGGTCAATAAGCTCTTCGTGTGGAAAGCGTCTCAGATACGACCTGAAGCAGCCGTGGCCTGTATGCACCTGAGTCAAGTGGAAGTTCACTTTGCGGTGTTGTCGTGATATCAATTTTTCAATTTGGAATCAGTCGTTGTGTCCAGCGTCCGTTGCAGGACTCGTTGCATTTCTTACGCCACACATCTAGCGTGTGTTTACGGGTAAATTTTTGTTAATAGTTGGAAGCGTGGCTGGTTCTTTCGCCGGCAGTTTTATCGGGTGTAATCCAGACAGTACTAGTGCAGCGTCTTCGGATACTATACTAAATACATAGGTATGTATGTATATATATACGCAACAAACTCTTAGTCTCTGACTTCTTTATCGCACCAATGGTGGCTTTTAATTTACGAAAGCCGAAGTTCTGGGGGGACAAACCAACAGATGCTTTGATGACATTTTTAACGCGATCATGAGTAATTCTTTCGAGGATGCTCCCCACTGCGTGGAGCATGGAAATAAGACGATACTTAGTTGCTCGGATCGTTTGGCTATTTTGAGGGCTTTGGGATAAGATTTTGGCGAATTTGATCTGGGCCTATTGGCACTTGTATGTAAATGTAAATAAGTATGAAGTAAAAATTAGTAACGCCTAAAATTTTCATCAAAGTAGTTCGGCCATGTCAAAAGTCATTTCCTTCCACACATTTAGAACAGTTTAAGTGCCAATAATTACCACTTGGCGTATTTATTGTGCATACAAGTATGTACATACATCCATAAGCGGTTGAAGACCAGCTCAGCGTGTGGCGTGTGGCGTGCGGCTTCTGTAGCAGGTGGTATGTGGTATGCAGAACAAAGGCGAACTATTTGTTAAGTACTTAAGTACGCGTAAATATCAATTTGTTCTTAACATAATTGGCGTGTTAGCCTTAACAGCAAAAATGGTAATTTTCCTAAATGATACAAATCGTGTTTGTGTTATCCAAAATTACTATTAAATGGGTGGCAAGATTATAGGCAATGACATCTTTTGTGGGTTGGTTTGGAAGAAAATGTGAGGAATATGAAAATAAGTACTTGAAAAACGATGAAATACATATACAGACACGAACATGTAGATTAGTTTAATTCTTAAGAGGCCATTGTCGGTTTGAATAATTATATACATCCAATATTCAGGAAATGTTTCAGAAAATAGCTTCAATTATTTTCTATAATTTAAGAATTCCGCTTAGTGACTGCGGCAATTGTTACTCCAACGTATCAGAGTTCGGTGAGGTTGTCAAGAGTTGTGATCGAAAGTGTCAACCAGTTTCCACGGATCAAAGTAGGAGGAATTTTGGATAAGGCATCTGATGGTGGAGTTTGTGGGATGATGCCACTTTCCGCATGCCAAATATATATACATACCGTATTTTGAAATCGGTTCTGGAAAAGTATTGCCATCGATACGGGCGAGTCCCCTTCGGAAAATGAAATCCTTGGCTGCATTCGAAGGCGTACAGTGAGTTTTGTAGTGGTTGTGTACCGGGTCAGGCCACGTTGATAAACGGAAATGCCCTCAAAAGTGCACAGGAAAAGAAAGAATAAGTAGAGAACTGCAGGATAACAAAGTCACTGGGCAAAGAAGCGGATACGATAGGAAACGATATGAAAGCTCCTTAGCCTCCCAAAGAAAAAAACTTAGAATTCCAACAGGTTTCTTAACAGATCATTGCAGATTAAGAAGTGTCACCTAAACAAATTTCTGGGCTACTGAATCACATGTACTCGATGGCACCAAAGAGCCTACCGGATAACCTAAGAAAGCTAAGACTGACCGAGGTGCTGCAAAGAGCAAGAGGGCACAATAGATCTCCTGGTCGCGGTGCACTCCTCAGCCGAATATCTATTGAATCTACATATGTCTGTTTCTATTACCCGATTAAGGGGTTTTAAAAAATTAAAGTCGGACCAATAGTCCTGTAGGCCTTCGGATACACATTATCACATACTTACCGGACCTTGGGACGCAATTTAGCACTCAGTACACTGCCATTTTATTATTTTTGTACTAGACTTCTGAAGCAAAACTGGAAAAATAACAATTCATACATGGAGATTTGTGTTCCCTGAAGGAGTTAGTCCCCCATTCCAGTTAGGTCCTTGTAGCTGGCGCTCAACTCTTTCTTCAGTGCCACGATCTGGTTGAAACTGAGCATTAACTTACGCTTCCAGCGATTTCACAACGTTCTGAGTTCAAGTCCCGTTTTTCCGGACTCACGAAAGCTACTCTTCGATCCTTGTACTCATTCCGCATAATCAGCGAGTTTCGCTAGTGTGCATAACTCTTGATGCCGCCCTTAAAACTTAGTTCAAAGAGAATACATATGTTGTCATTTTTTTCAACTCTCTTGTTTCTTAAAAACTGTTGCCACTGCTTGCTCATCGTGCCAAACAAAAATTCATTTTGATAATGAACATTGTGTGCTAAGCTTTTGTTTGTTGTCTAAAAGCTCATTATCTGCTGAGTTATGGATAACAACAACTCAACTTTAGCTTTAAAAGCCACCTAACATAGCGCTAAGATAGCCTATAAGAATAAGCTAAACCATAGCAACAACAAGTGATAACTTTATAGACGTTGCCGATTTAAGTGGCAGCCCGCAACAATAAAATCGCATTTAGAACTGTTTTGCAGCAGTTTACTGTGTATTTATATGTATTTGTATATTATATTGTCTGCCGCTTGAACGAACATTTTATGGGCATTGTTTGAGGCGAAATTCGAATCGTGGGAGCAGCTGTAGCAGTGACAACAAACGCACTAAGCCACAGCATGCCAAAAAACAACAACAACAGCAGCAACAATAGTCAACACCTGCGCAACCGCAACAAGTGTCTTACCGCATAATTCCCTTTCAGCTACTTATGTATGTATGTGTGTATGTATGTATGTATGTGTGTATGAGCATTTTGAAGCTTGGCTTTTTCGCTGTCTCAGCTTTAGCTTTTTATTTCAAACAACGAGCGCCTTTGTTGGCGTAACTCATAAAAAACCGCGTTACCAAAGTGTTCCCAACACCAGTTTCGGTTAAGAGTTCGCGCTGTGCAGTTCGTTCGATCGCTTGTCTCCGGCTTAGACATTGGTTAATACGGTTTCCTGCTCCGGTATGCGGTCCTAAGTAATCTCAGATTTCTAGTCAGCTTGTGTAGTGCAAAAATTCGAAAATTTAAACAAAAACAGTAAAACACAAAAATTGTACAAACAAAAAAATCTTAAAAGATTATAAGAAAAAAACAAAAAAAATGTACGAAAACGCGTAGCTAAGGAAGAAACAAGTTATGAGCGCCCGTAACAAGATTTTGTAACTTTTGACTCCGCATTTTCGGCACATTTTCTTGTTGTTTGTTTTTATTTTGTGAATATGAGTGTTAGCTAACTTTTTTTTGTTTTTGTTTTTTATTTGAGGAGTTTACACATTGATTAACCAAATTTATTTTTGGCGTTGCCCAAATTTGCTCTTACATGTGTATGTTTGTTGATCTTTTCCGTGCGGCTTCGAATTGCGGTCATAGTTAATATACATATGTATGATTTTCGCAACAAAAGTACATACATACCAAAAAAACAGTGTAACGTAAATACCCACACTTGAAAATTGAGAAAAAAGTGTGAAAAACTTTGTTGATCTTTTGAGATCCATTATTGTGAGTTCCTCGGCAGAGCAGCAGAACTGATCATTTTTGGAACGACGGAAGCTGCATTTAAAAGCTAAGAAGAAAACGTAAGACATACATATCGCTACCTAAAGGTGAAAAGGTGCCAAGTCCACTTTTTTCCAAAATTTTGTTTTTGATGCAGAATGACGGATAATGCAAAACTACATCTATTTTTCGTCTCTCCTGAACAACTTAAAAAAAATGGACTTTTCACCTTTAGGTAATGATATACATATATATATTTGATTTGCATGAGTGTAAGGGAATTAATTGAAAAAGTAGGCCAAAAGTATAGATTATATAAGTAAATATCCTCTGAATACCCTGCCAGCCATGTTTTCAGAGTTTTCTGAATAGTAGCGAAATCTTAAAGAATTCGTGAATAAATTATTATTTCCTTTTCCGATTTTTTGCCGAATTTTTAAACTCCGATTATTTTTCTAAATTTCAAAAGAAAAGTGGTTAATCAACGATAATTCTTTAAGAAATCGTACAGAATTTTCTTTACGAATTTTTGGCAACCACATAATATGATATTGTTTGAAGATTCCTAAGATATCGTTACAGAATTCGGGTTAAACTACCGATTTCGGAAACTATGGTTTGAAGGGTACATCAAGTCTGAACGAAAAAAGTTCATTCATTAAAGGTATGAGAAATCATTGCAAACAGTCGAGTTCTCCACCAGGTGTACTATAAAAATAGGTCTAATCCAACCTAGTGCACTATGGGTAATTTTCCCATTTTTTGCGGCAAAAATTAATTATGACCAAACAAGTAGATTATTTTGGTAAATATACGATTTTCAACATTTTTATAAAAAAATATCTTAACTCTTGATGACCGATGGGCGTCACAATTTGTGATTTTCTGGAAAAAGTTTGAATGCACTTTTTTAAATATTTGTTTTAAAGAAAAAAATGCCACTTAGTTAGAAAAAACTATTTTTGAAAAATATTGCCAAAAATACATAATTTCAATTGGAAACCTGAAATACGGCCAACACTTTAAAAACCTTTTCATATTTCTTTAAAAAAAAATTATAGTTAAAGAGTTTTTCTTAATTTTCTATATTTATGTTAATTTTTTAACAAAAAATTTATCAAAGGTGCAAAAAATGTTTCCAAAAAAATATTAGATATAGATCTTAGAAGAACTTACGTTTTTCTTTATTTTCTATATTTTTGGATAATTACTAACTATATTATGGTTGTTCGAATTTCAGGTTTTAGAAAACAAAAAATTAATCGTTATGCTAGAAATATGTATTTTTCTCTCCAAAAATAATAAAATAATACCAGTTATGTCAGAAGTAAGTATGTATTTTTAAAAATTTGTTTCAAAAAAATACCAGCAATAGATCTTGAAACAGCTTGCTTTTTTCTTTTATTCTATATTTTTGTTAATTTTTTTGATTATTACTGACTTTAATAGGGTTGTTCGAATTTAGTTTCTTAGAAAAAAAAAAAAAAATAATGGTTATGTATGCCGGGAGTATTTTCTTGAAAGCACTTACTTTATTTTTAAATTTTTATATATTTTTTTAATTTTATGGATACTTTTTAACTTAAAAATGGCTGTTAGAATTTCGACTTTTATAAAAAAAATAATTAGTGGTTATGTCAGAAGTATGTTTTTCTCTCCAAAAAAGTCTTTCAAAAAAATATAAGTAATACGTCTTGCTTAAATTACTATATTTTTGTTTGAAAATATCTAAACAATGACGACTTTTTGCTAAAACATGGCCTATTGGTCATTTAACACTAGACTAGGGCTAGACAAAGAACCGCAAGCACTAAACTAAGTAAATTGCACCGAATGATTTGCATTCGCATAACAGGAGCCATGAAGACCAGCCTTGTTGATGCACTCTATCCTATTTTAATAGAAAAGTAGGCGACTACCGTGGCCCTGAGAATCCTAAACACCTCCGATCTGAAAATCGGAAATATGACGGGTCACATGAAGGTCCTAATGAAACTCATTAATGACCGCACATTGCAATGCAATAGTTACATATCTAGAAATCTCTCGGAAATTTTAGGTACACATTGCATACATATTATAGATCAAGCTCTCTGGAATGCAGGGAACCCATACAGCAAACCGAATGGGCAGGTTTGAAAATGGTTAAACATATTTTAAGCGGAGATTCGTGCAATAGCAATTTGCGGAAGATAATGCTTTAGAAGAGGCACATCGTCGAAATACATATATCTGCATTATGTCGGACAGTAAGGTAGCCGTACTGGCACTGAAGCTCCACAAAATAAATTCCCAGCTAAATAATAAATGTTTGCCTCAATGACCTCATGCCTCAGGAGACAAAATGTTCAGTAGGCACTGGATGGAATTCCAGGGTAGAGAAAAGCCAAACGATTTATCTGTCATTCAAAGGAAGCTTCAAAGAAACTACTTAATTAAGGCAGACAGAACCTCAAAACTCTCGCTGGGCACTACACGGGACGCTGTATCCTTCATTATCACCTCAGTGAAGTAAATCTTTCAAAAACAAACGTCTGTTGGTTTTGCGAACTGGATGAACAAATGCCAGAACCCAGCCTCTGTGAAGGTGACGATCTCGCTAGGTGCAGACGGGCTGACTTGTGTAGTACTAAACTTAATCCATTTGAAATTTCGAAAGACTAAATACACTGATTGGACTTTAACAGCATGGATTTAGGAGCATGGACTAGCAATCCAACATCAAACAGATTTTCTCAGCTTGTAAAATCCTTGAAAAAAACCTCTGCTATGAAAATCTTCACTCGAAAAGAAGTTGCCTTGTCTAAATTTAGGCACCTGGTAACTAATACCCCTATGTAGAGTGATATTGAGCACAACCTTCAGCTCCTTCCGAATTCGAAGGGATCCCTGGCCGCGCGTTCAAGATCAACAAAGTTTAAGACAGGACTCCTCGCTTTGGTGTGACTTCTTCAATCTGATGATTGGAGTAGGATGAGGCAAAAGAGGGACACACGCCACTATTGGCAGTTATAATTTTGAAGCAGTGAGACAGTTTTTCTACCCATGGTCTAGCATTAAAACCACCAACAATGTTATCTGGGAGATCAATAGGCAATTGAGAAGCAATCTCTAATTATGCCCGTCCTTTCGAACGGCGCAGAAACACGGACGATGACGAGCAAGGATAAGAAGGCTTTGGGGTATTTCTACTAGATACTAAGTATTCTTCGAAAGATCTAACCTGTGCGCATCGGGGCGTGTACCGAAGAGGATGAGGTAACCAGCTTACGAATTTTATAATGGCATGAACATAGTTAAGCGTCGATTATGCTGGCTAGGACATGTCGTACGTATGCTCGGGTGAAGAAATTCTTGGACTGGGCAAATGTAGGAGGACTTGCCTCCATTTGTGTCTGCGTAACTTTTTAAATGAGAGCGACAACTGGCTAAGGTTTTTGGTGCCGGCCCAACTTTACAAGCAGTTTTAGTAGAAGAAGAGCACCTCGTTAATATGGAGTAAATCACCTCCTCGAGAAAATAAACGAAACGAAATCGGACCAAATTCGGAAAATCTTGCAGCTAAATTTTCAGGTAGTTTGACTATCGTAGTCTCTCTCCTGTCGAACCTTTGATGTACATACATAAATGAAGTGACAAATTTAGTGAGTGCTAGAGAGCTCAAAGCAGTATTAAAATTCGCAAAATGTTTATCTATTAATTTTTAATTTTTGATACAAAATAAATAATCGTTATTTTTGGAATTTATTTTTCCGATCGTTATACTTGATTTTTATTTTTTTATCTTATTATAAACGTTATTTTCAGATTTATTCTCTAAGATTATAAAAAATTTAAGTCGGTTAATAGAAATGCAGTCTGCATCATATCGGTTAAAAATGATCGAAAAAAATAAATATCCCAAATTACGACTATTTTCAATCGAAAAAATGAAAAAACACAAAGTAACCATTAAATAGGACTGAAAAAATAAAACTCCAAATTTAACAATGATTCTTGATCGAAAAAATAAGAAACGAAAATTAACGATTTTGCAATGATCTAAAAATAAAAATCTTCATATTTTAAGATTATTTTCGGTCTACATGCTCACATGGTACTGGCAGATTTTCACAGCATTTTTAAGCAGAAGTTACGCTATTAAAGACACTAGGTGACTCTGTTTGAGAGCCCAGAGGCAGTCTGGACCTTTAGCACTTCCGTAACGTTGTCTAACAACTATTTATGACTAAATAGCTAATAGGAGCGAATAAAGCTTTAATATTTTTCTTGTTAACAATTTATTTGCTTCTTCTGCTGGATTTTAAAAACCTCTTATGAGCCTTTTAATAAATATTTTATTCCTATTACATCGTAAAGTTTTCAAATAAGTTTCCTTGAATTTCCCTAAAACTGCTAAATATCTACATAAGTATGTAAGTACTTACATATGTATGCATGTATGGAAAAACATGAATCACTTGACTCTTATGCAATAACTAAAAAGCTAGTTTTTTATTTAAAAATTTTACTATGACATTTTATTTTTAATTGATTGTACTATTGCATTTTATTACAACACTTGGATGCGCTCACCTCAAATCCGAACCACTATGTAGATATGTACACAGATACATAAAAGTAATTACACTGTGCGACAGCCAAAGAAAGACAGAAATTCGCATTCGTGGCAATTATGAAAGAGGAAGAGTTCTAGAATATTGGACCACCTGTAGTTTTGTTCCTAAACGTAAATTTAGTTTTTTATTGTATTGAAATTTTTCTAGTTTGGTATTAAACTGCCATTTTGTAGGCCGGCCATCTTGGATTTACAATAACATTGAATACACCTTATTATGTTGTCAACAAAACTAAAATTGTGTGCCCAATTTCAGATCAATAGAAATTTCAATTAATAGACTTTATCCCAAACAAGGGTTAAAACGACTCTCGTAAGAAATAACTTCAATACACAGCAAACAAAAGTTGTGCCATTTAGCGGAAAAAACGGCAGGTGGTCTAATATTCTATTGCCTTATGGCATTCGTATCTTTTTTTATTCGCCTCATTTTGTTGCACAGTGTTATTGGCATCAGAGGTT